CCCACGGAGTGCCATGCTGCACCGGTGGGTGTGTGTGCCTCACCATGCCAGGGACGGAGGGTGTTGGGGCGCCGGGTGCCGGGGCACAGTGGGCAGCGTGGCCGTGGCAGAAGCAGCTCCCACGCAGCACCAGCTCATCCACAGCATAGTAGTACTTCTGCAGCACCTCCCGCCGCGAGTCCAGCAGGTTGTCTCCCAGCGTGTGCAGCTTGGTGAGGTTCACTCGCAGGTTGGTGATGCGCAGCAGGTCTGAGGGGGGTCAGTGACAAGGTGTGTCCCCACATCGGCCAGCCCCACAACCCCAGCACCCCCAGCCACACACCCTGAATGTCCGAGCTGTAGGGATCTGCCACGGGGATGGAGGGGTCCAGCACCTTGAAGATGACCTGTGAGGAGAAAGGGATGAGTGATCCCATACCGCCCAGACTGCCAGCCCCACTCTGCACCACCGTGTCCACACACACCTCCCCATGGCTGGAGGGCTCGATCTCAGAGTAGCGCTGGTCACAGAGCACCTCATCCATCAGCCCTGAGGGCTGGCTGGGGATGCCAGGGAAGAGCTTGGAGCAGTTGTAGGCGAAGTAGCGGTAAACCTTCCAGGTGCGTCCGAAGTCGGCTGAGCGCTCCACCAGCATGGCCGCGGGGCGGAAGGTCTGCAGGACACTCAGGTGGGATGGGGCCAGCCCCACAGCCCCTGTGAGTCCATCCTGTCCCATCCCACCCCATTCCAGGCACCCTTGTGCTGGGACCCACCTTAAACTTCATGATGAGGTGGGTGAAGTGGAACTCGCCCTCCAGGTCCAGGCGGATGCTGACATGCTCCACGCCTGGAGGGTCAGGAAGGTGATAGCTGAGGCTGGGGAAGACCCCCATGGCCACAGGGCCCCAAAGCACACACACATGGGGCAATCCTGCTGCTGCCCTGACCTCACCATTCTCTGACTGCCACCAGGTCCGCTGGTCGTGGGGGCCACTCAGGTAGATGACGTCCTCAATGCGGTGGCTCTCAGGCAGGGATGGGTCCCGTGAGTCACAGGTGAAGCATTTCTCTGAGTCCTGTGCCAAGGAGCAGCACCGTCAGGGATGGATGACTGGAGGTCACTGGTGTCACTGGACACCGGTGCCCAGCCGTGTGGGTCTGTACCAGAGCTGTGCTGGGGCTGGGTGGGCT